CTGCATATATATATCCGTATAAATATAAATAAATTAAATATTTTTGTTTGTTTTTTTGTTTTGTTTAATATGATGTATTAAAATGCCTTTTTTATTTGTGTTTATACTTTATTTTGGTTGGTCAGATGAGAAAGCGATAGCATACACACCAGCAGCAACGACACACACAACAGCAATAACACACTCAACAGCAGCAGCAGCAACAGCAGCAACAGCAGCAGCAGCAAGTGCAGCAACAGCAGCAGCAACAGCTGCAGTAACAAGAGCAGCAGCAAGAGCAGCAGCAACAGGTGCAGCAGCAGCAGCAACAGCAGCATCAATAGCATCCGAAGAAAGCAGAAGAGTGAGTGTTGTGTTATACCTGATGGTTCCATTGGGACTTTTCCACATTTGTTTTAAGTTGAATTCCTTGACTCTGGCTGCATCAGGTGTAATGGTGGCGCACTTAACCCCAACATTATATTTTTTTATGGCTTCTGCTGCATCTAAAGTAATCTGATCGTCGGTGGCGTCACGATTCGGCAAAGAAAGATCAAAATATTTCAGCTGTACGTCCAGGTAAGGAAGGATCAGTTTCTCTTTTATCCACCCCCATAGAATACGCGTCATCTCGTCGCCATCTAATTCAACTACTGGGTTTTCTACTTTTATTTTTCCAGATATTTCAAATGCAGGAACTCCACAAGAATTCAACTTTTCACCGCCACATGTTTCCGTTGAGATCGCCCGACGAGAGTTGTTGTGCAAGTTCTGCACAGCCGGCGGCTGGTGCTGCTGAAGCGCACTAACTGATGGGTAAAAAGCGTTTTTTATTGCATTTTCATGATTTATTTTTATTAAATTATTACTTTTAGCACAAAAAGAAGAAAAAGAAACAACAGAACCGCGACCGACCCCCGCTGCGTTTCGGAAGACGGACGACGCCATTGCCACTCCTCACCGCAACACAGCACCAGAAACAGCAGAGAAAGCTAAGGAAAATCCACTTCTTTTCTTTTTCTCTGCGGTTAAAAACAAAGAATACGCAATTTATTTCCACTTTCTCTCCCCTTCACTCTCTCCAGGATGACTCAACCGGCGAAGCAACCCCACGGGGCTGGCGCTGGCGGTTGAGACCCTGGGGCCCCAGCAAGCCCTCGACGAG